TTAAACTCCGTGCCCAGTCAAATAAGTTTATATAAATTGAAACTGAGAGAATATTTAATACTTTATATTTAATAAGAAGTTTTATAGTCACAAAATATTATGATATGTTCAATTCTATAAATTTTAAAAGTTTTATAGCCATGAAATTGCTATGTCATATTTAAAATGACAAGTTTCAATTTTTTTTTTAAAACTTTATATCAATTCAAACTATGTCACATAAATAAGAAGGGATAGATTTTTATTTTTTATTTTTTCTGGATATATGTTTTTTCCTTAAATTCTCAACTTCTTCTCCACTCAACTCACTTTTGTTGAGCTTTCAGAAGTCCTGAACTGAAAATAGAAAATAATATATAAAAATATAAAAAAGGAAAGTCACTTCAATGAATTATACTAATAGTATTATTTTGCAATTCAGAAAGCAACCCCATTTCTTCTATTCTTGATTCTTTGTGCTAACTCTCTATTCTTTTAAGTCAATAAGCAGATATCAACAGTGAAGAAGATTACAAGTTCTTGAAAAGAACAGGATTAGGTAGTAGCTATTTCATCTTCTACCTTTACCATCTGATTTATTTTTATTTGTTTGCTACATATTGAGGTAATAATTATTTGAAATATAGAAGACAAAAAGGATTATATTTCAAAGAGGGGTTGTTGTGAATTACCTCAGATCCAGGGTACTGAAGTTTTATTAGAAAAAGGGTACCTGCTTTTTCAGTGCTTTCATGTGATTCTTGGTAATTGGCTTTGCTTTTCATAGGTTAATTCACATGACCCTTTCCTTGTTACCTGTCTTTCTTGTCATTTAAGACTAAGGATTTATGTAAAGTTTGGATTTTTATCTTATTACCTATATTAATTGAGTGGATGTAAGGATCTCTAGTGAATATTGTTATGTTCTGAGTATATATAGTTGAAGAAGAAGTTAGATTTTGCACCCAAAAAAAAGGGGGGGTTCTTGCTGTTTCTTTTTTGCTAAACAGAACTGATTACCAATTTCTGTCAAGCATCTTGATTAATGGGGCGCCGCGCAATGTAAAAGAATGGTCTTTTACTAGTTGATTTAATTAGGCATGGAAAATGGTATGCTGAAGCTCATGATAAGACTATTACTGATTCTAAAGAGAGGTGATGAATTAGTTTAACAATGAAAGGCAGTTTAGTTTTAGAGGGGGTGGTCAACTTTTACTGCTTTCAATATAGTGATTTCGATGGAGGAGATGTATCGGGCGGTTGCAGTGCCATTTATATTTGGTAATTTGATCTGTCATAACCCAAGCTTAGGAAGTTATATGGATTTTACTAGGCTAAAGTCGATGGATGATACGGCGAGCTTGTATTCTAATTCTGAGACTAAAACTTTGGCAGACTCAGTTTCTGGTGGCAATGATGATTGCAGCTCTGCTGATTCAGAGAGCGACCTTAGTATTACAGTATCATCTGTGCCTGAAGAGAGCCGGAGTGAAGGGACTATGTCGCTTGATGTGATTTCTGAAAATGAAAGCAGCTGGATTGCTGGTGATGATGATTCCTTCTCATTGGAAGGTGATCAGATTCTTGATAGTTCGTGTTCCTTGTCAGTGGTGAGCGATTGTAGTAGTATATGTGCTGATGATTTTATAGGTTTTGAGATAGCGTCTGATATAGAAGGTCAGGATTTCGTAGATTCTCAGAAAATCATCAGCCATGTCGAACTTATTGCTAAGACTGAGGTTCTAGTTGAGTCAGATGTTGAGGATACTGTGACTAGACCCGTGGAAGCTTCCAATGGACATGAGGAGCAGATCATAAAATCATCTGAAGTTGTAGTTCAGCTACCCCTAGATAAAGGCTTGAGTGCAACAGTCAGCCGAAGTGTTTTTGAAGTGGACTACATACCCCTATGGGGATATACATCCATCTGTGGAAGGAGACCAGAAATGGAAGATGCATTTGCAACTGTTCCTAGATTCTTGAAAATTCCTCTACAGATGCTAATTGGTGATCGCGCGTTTGATGGACAGCCTAGACGCTTAAGTCATTTGACGACTCATTTCTTTGGAGTTTATGATGGCCATGGTGGTTCTCAGGTCTCTGTCTCTCTCTTCTCTCTTTCTCACTTAGGTTTGCACAACTCTTCTTGTTAACTAAATATGAACAATAAATTTGATTCTCTTTTTTTCTTTTCAGGTGGCAAATTACTGCCGAGACCGGATGCATGCTGTATTGATTGAGGAGTTGGAAACTATTATGACAAATCTCAGTGATGAAAGTATTAGGCAAAGTTGCCAAGAGCACTGGAGAAAAGCATTTACCAACTGTTTTCTTAAAGTTGATGCTGAGATTGGAGGGGGAGATAGTCATGAGCCTGTTGCCCCAGAAACTGTAGGCTCCACAGCGGTTGTTGCCGTTGTTTGTTCATCTCACATTATAGTGTCAAACTGTGGTGATTCAAGGGCTGTTCTGTGTCGTGGGAAGGAACCCTTGGCATTGTCAGTGGATCACAAAGTAAGCAAAATTTTAGACTATATTTACTTGCATAGAAATTAATCTCCTATGTACCATTTTCAAGTCCATTCTCTTTGTCAGCCAAACCGAGAAGATGAATATGAAAGGATTGAAGCAGCTGGAGGCAAGGTGATACAGTGGAATGGCCATCGTGTTTTTGGTGTTCTTGCAATGTCTAGGTCCATCGGTATGTTTTCTCCTAGCTAACCTTTTTCTAGCATTTGCAAGATACTCTAATCACCAGCTGAATCTTCTGTATTTTGACCATACTAGTATGAACTATGGAGTATGAGCTATTAAGCTTTAAATCTTTACCATTACTTGGTGCCTTTATTGCGTTACGTTATGCGCTTCCAATAGATTGTACTGGAGCACAGTTCATTCTTAAAAGAGAAGCTAATTCAAGATTCCATGATTGGTGATACAACCAATATACTCTAGCTTCTATTATGTAGTAGTGCATATTGTATGGCTCTGCCTCTTCCATTTGGTCTAAGATGTTTGAATTATAAAATATATTGCCACCTATGCTTAGACGCCAAAGCTTTCAGGAATTAGAGTTGCTCCGACATAGCAGCTTAAGTGCCATACCCCTGTCGACACGACACTAGTATGAGTACGTGTATGAGATCCGTACTGGATATGGTCAAACAATTTTGGGTACTTTGACCACGACAGATGGGAAAATTCAAGACGAGATACAATTTGATTCCTAAAATCAGAACCAAATATAGGGTAAATTTGAAGAAAATAGCATACCTTATCTAGGAAATCAATTATTTACTTATTCACAACTTGAAAATAAAAAAGAAATTTACACTTTACAAGCTATACATAAGTATTCCACAAAATTTCTTACAATTTAGAGATATTTTTATATTTTTATTTTTTTGAATTATTTTTAGCCGGATTCCCGTACCCGTATTCGTACTAGGATCCGTATCCCCGAATCATAGAATTTACATCTCGAAGGACCCGACCTCTAGATCCGCACCCGTGTCGGACACCCGTGTCTGAGCAACTTAGATTAGAATTCTCATTAGAAAGGTACACTAAGTGAGCTGCAGGATTGCATAAAGACATTTCTTCTGAACATTCTTGTATGTGTAAGTTGATATGAGAAGTAACCTGTGGCCAGTAGCATCATGTTATCCAGCTTTTAGCTATTTTCTTATTATGTATTTTCTTGGGATGTTTATCACTTGGACAGATTTGATCTAGAGTAAATTTTGACATTCTAGAAGTCCTAATTTTTGTTGGTAAATAGATCTTTTTCTTTCTTTCAATCCAGTTATTATTGATTGCAGGAGATAGATACTTGAAGCCTTGGATTATTCCTGATCCAGAAGTAACGTTCATACCTCGATCCAAGGATGACGAATGCCTTATTCTAGCGAGTGATGGTTTATGGGATGTCATGACAAATGAAGAAGTTTGTGATATGGCTCGTAAACGCATACTTATGTGGCATAAAAAGAACGGTGTAACGCTCCCCATGGAAAGGGGCGAAGGAATTGATCCAGCAGCACAGGCTGCAGCAGAGTGCTTGTCGAATCGAGCTCTTCAAAAGGGCAGCAAGGACAACATAACTGTGATTGTGGTGGACTTGAAAGCCCAAAGAAAGTTTAAGAGCAAAACCTAACATAACTAGCCTCTCAATCTGCTGTTTCATTTATTATAGATTTGCAGTATAAACTAAATATGGTTCAAAATGTAGTCAAGCCCTTACATTTTTCACCTGGGAATCTGGGATAATTGACTTTTATTGGAATAGGTTTCTGTATGTATTTTAGTACATGCTCCATTCTGTATGTAATTTTCTTCTTTTAGTTATTTGAAATAGGAGCAACTACATTATTATAATCAAATGTAATGGTCATTATGCCTCAAAGTGTTAAAAGGCTCTATGAGGTATTTTAACCTATGTTACTTTGACATTGTAGATTCATAATAAGCAATTCAGAGTAGAGTTTTTTCTTCTAAATTTGTATTCTTTTCACCCTCAACTTTGTCTGGAAATTTTAGCTACAGACCTAAACTTTGCGGAGGACTTATAGATGTGTAGTTGAAAATTCGGGACAAGTTGAGGGTATTTATGTGTTATGCTATAGTTGAATATGCAAAAATTGCACCTAAGCGTGTGGCTTGGTAATTGTATTGTGTAGTTGAAAATTCGGGACAAGTTGAGGGTATTTATGTGTTATGCTATAGTTGAATATGCAAAAATTACACCTAAGTGTGGGCTTGGTGATCAATACAGTCAGTGAAACTTTGGATTCAGATCTCAAGTCTTGGCGGATAGAGTTATCGAACATGTATCCGTTGAAACAATTAAGATGCACACAAGTAGTGTCATAAAAAATCAAACATGCAATAATTGTATTTATTTTCTCATTTTTATGTGAAGGAAAAGGAAAAAAGGGATTAAAACAGCACCATAGACCTAGTCAAAGTGGTAAAAATAGTTAATGGAGCAGAGATAAACATAAAAATTTGTCCACCAAATCATTTTGTAAAACTAATGATTCCAAGGTAAAAGAAATTTGGCCGTTATGGTGGTTGAAAGTGGCGGGAGGTAACTAGCGGCGTAGCCTCCTTTTCTCTTACCACCACCAACTTTTTCATTGTGTCATAAAAATGGCTTCGTCAGATGATGGCGGTAGCCACCACCGCCCTATAGTTGTGGCAGTTGATAAAGATAAGAATAGCGCCTCTGCTGTGAAATGGGCTGTTGATAATCTCCTTACAACCAATCCAAATCTTGTATTGCTCCATGTTCGAATCAAGAAGTCACCAAATCGTAGGTACCCTTTTTCTCTTATTCCCATTCCTACGGGATCAATATTTTGGTATTAAAATTGTATATATATATATATATATATATATATTATTAGGAATGGGAACTTTTGCTTTTTGTTGCACCTATAAAAAGGACAGCTCGGTCCACATAGCATTTCGACCCTGATGCAAGCATTATTTCATGGCTCAAACTTTGTGACCTCCAAGTCATACGAGATAACTTTACAGTTGCTCTAAGGCTCCCCTTCTGTTAATGTAAGTGAAATGTGGTTTTGGTTTACCACCAAAGAGTGTGGTAGAATGGATGATATCCCTCCATTTAAGGTCTCGGGTTCAAGCCCTTGAAATGCAGAAGCTCCTAATTCCCTTTTATGGGCCCTACAAAGTGCTAATTTGCATTAGTTATGCCGGTGGATTTCGGATAACAATTTCCAAATGTGGTCCATTCTTCTATATCTGAAACAGTTGAAATTTTTGGTTGTTTATTGTGACATTGTTGCTGCTTTGTAGCGGGTGGTGGGAATGAAGCTGCTCCAGATGCAAATGGAGGATCATGCGACGAAGATACTCAAAATGTCTTCACTCCTTTCAGGGCTTATTCTGCGCGTAAAAGGGTAAGTGAATTAAACATATCATGGAGGAGTTTGACTACAACTACAAAAGAAACGATAAGAAATATGGCATTTTTGAGAAATCCATAACAAAGTTAGCATTTTTACTCTTTTTCTTTTCAATCATGATGTCTTCCTTTATGTTTCTTTGAATCGACCAAAGACTTCCTTCATTCTATTTGATTTCACATTCTTTCCATAATTCCATTCCAATCCGTTCTAAATATAAGTCATTCTACATTATGATACTCTTTACCCTTTAATAATTTTCTAGTGATTTCTAAGGATACTTTTGATAGTTAAATATATTTAGCAAATATGGCAGGAAAAAAAAAGTTATATTAAACACCGCATTGTCCTCTGTTTGGTCCAGACCCCGAGCATAGCGGTAGCTTAGTGCACCGGGCTGCCCACAAACACACAAAGTCTATTTTCTCATTTCTGTTCCTTTTTCCCCCTAAACCTCTTGTACCATTAAAGTAATTTATTAATTACCTACAGTAGCGTCGTTTTTCAATGTTTAGGTGAAACGGGCTTGCACCATTTTAGAATTTTACTAAATCATACTTTACTCAAATGATTGCAGGTAGTAGTGAAAGAGATCGCCCTTGAGGATACTGAAGTGTCCAAAGGACTTGTTGACTACATCAACGGTCACTGTGTTACCAACATTGTTCTTGGTGCATCATCTAGGAGCGCTTTTGGCAGGTTATTATCTCTCAGTTTCTCTGTTGCTTATGCTGCATTGTGGAGGAAAACAAATTAAACTTGGCTTATAACCTTTTTCTGCAGGAAATATTGGACTCCTGATGTCCCAACAATCATAAATAAGGCTGCACCAGAATTTTGTACTGTCTACGTAGTTTCAAAAGGCAGGCAACAATCTGTCCGACCAGCAGCAAAACCTCTAACTTCCTCTGCGCCAGCAAGGCAACATTCCTCATCAGCATGGACACCGTCTAGATTAAGTAACTCTGAATCAGAAGACATATCCAGGTACAAAATATAAGCAACTGATGATATAAAACTAACCAACTTTCCCTTTCGTTTTGTTGGCTTGAAAAAGCTAACAACTTTCGCATTGCAGTGCTTATAGCCCATAGAGAATGATTATGGTTACTTCTTCCTTTGTTGTGTCTCCATCTTATTTGGAGCTAAAGTTTTAACTGTTGAACTAAGAAATAATAGGTGAAGGAGCAATTATGCTTCCTTATGCTCTAAGCAAACGTGTGAATTCTTTATGTTCTAGCTAATTTTAATGAATAAATGGTACAAAATAGGTTGTCATTTGCAAGGGCAGAGCCAAAGATTATAGAATCTGAGAAGACCAGGCCTGAAAAAGGACCATCTAATGTAGTGATGGATCATCTTCATGCTCCCTCTGGAGGGCCGATGAATTCATGTAGCCGAACTTCTCTATCAGATGGTAGTGATCTCTTTGCTCGTATTAACCATAGATCAGTTGATATCTCAGCAGACAATCTTGACTTCACACAAGTTGCAATCAAAGAAACTCCAAGGAATGGAAGCTCCTCATATACAGTAAGTGCAATATAATCATAGAAGCTACATTACGATGCAAATTTGTAGCTTAATACACAATATGAGCATTTCCGTTATATAAAAAGTATAACAAATTTGCTGAATAATAACCTCTGTCTCATCATATGTGATAATGCAGTTGGAAGCTGAGATGAAAAGACTAAAACTTGAGCTAAGGCAAACTTTGGATATGTATAATGCAGCTTGCAAAGAAGCTGTCTTGGCCAACCAAGCGGTAATGTCTCGTTGTCTAATTGCATAGAACCACAAAATGAAGACCACTTAAAATAGAAAGAAAGAAGAAATTTAAAGGCCCAAGTATCTGCAAAAAACATCAAACATAGAACATGCATTGAAAAGAGACCTAGTTTTAAAGTTAAAAGATGGAAAAGAAATTATAAGGGAACTCATGTTTCTACAAATTTTACTAGCACTCACAGAATCAAATGTTCAGTTTGTGTTACTTGGATACTTAGTACATGGTTTAGATGCCTAGAATAGGCCACCGTATTTGCATGGTATATTTTAGAACCGATAATATAATTCTAGGGGCTACCGACGCCCAAAACTACATTGGTGCATTCAGCATTTTTATGGGGAGTTATTCTTCCAAGAAAATACGTAAGGTATGAATTAATCGTTATTAGTTACAATTTTATCTATATACTGAGTAAGAAATAGCATCATATTCATATCACCCTGGTGTATAAGTTTATGAACAAATTGTTAGTATGTCTCTGTTGCCAAAAAAGGCTATTGGAAACACGAGTTACAAATTTATGACATCAAATGCAAGGACCAAGGCTTTCTTCCTCTTCTTATCCTTGATTAAGTTTTCCGTGTGTTATGTGTATACTAAATTTCAGGCTGAAGAGCTTAATAAATGGAAAATGGAAGAAGCTCGTAGGTTTGAACAAGCCCGTCTTGCTGAAGAGGCGGCTCTTGCAATTGCTGAGACCGAAAAGGCTAAATGCAGAGCTGCTATTGAAGCTGCTAAGAAAGCACAAAAGATGGCTGAGATAGAAGCACAAAGAAGGAAGTATGCGGAGCTGAAGGCCAAGCTAGAGGGAGAAAAAAAGAATCGAGCAATGAATGTTCTATCTCAGAATGATCTCCGTTATAGGAAGTATACAATAGAAGAGATTGAGGCAGCAACCAAAAATTTCTCAAGTTCTCTAAAAGTTGGAGAAGGTGGATATGGACCTGTTTTTAAGGCAAAACTTGATCACACGCCTGTTGCCATTAAAGTTCTGAGTGCTGATGCTGCACAAGGGAAGAAACAGTTCCAACAAGAGGTAACTCTTGATATCTCTAATTCATCGATACACTCTTCTTTTACAATACAAATTAAGATAAAGGTCCTTCATTATTTGAGGTGAGCAACTTCATTTTTCATAAGAATTATGCGAGTTCATTGAGTCACTTCTAGAGTTAATTACCGGGGACGCAATGGTGGGAATCATGATAGAGTTAATTACCGGGGACGCAATGGTGGGAATCATGATAAATTGTGCATGTAGACAAATGCATGTATAATGATGCATTTTGGCGCATGACGTGATTGTTTTGATTAATCTATAATAGGAATGTCATACGCTAGGTGATTTCTTCCCTTTTGCCTAAGTCTTGTTGCAGAGTAATGATAAATGGACCTTGGGCCTAACTCAACCCCAAAAGTTAGCTTATGAGGTGAGGATTGCCCAAAACCATATAAAGAGACCAAGTTCTTCAAATCCCACCGATGTGGGACAACTCAACAAGTAACTGGTACATGTGCTGGTGGGAGGTAGTAGATACCTGGTGGAATATCGGGGTGTGCATGAGCTGGCGTCCGGACACTGCCTTCATAAAAATAATATGTATTACAGGAATGTTTTTGACTAATGCATAACCTGGTAGTTTTTTGTTCCATATGCTTCATTCAAAAGCTTCCTTATTATGTGCATAAGCATCTATGTGAAATCTTTTACCTGTACATTTATGAGCACGCTCTTAGAGATGTCCAAGGAATCTCTTCATTAAAAAGGTTAAGCAGTGGCTTAGTACATGTAAATTGGATGGATTTTCACTTACTAGTATAACTAGAATATTTGCGAGGTGTTGTAGCTCTTACTCACTCCTCTATGCTATATACATAGATGTCCTCTTTCCTTGGTTAAATTGTTGATTGATGTTAGTATAGTATTCAACAAGCCAACTGCTGATGCACATAAAAAAATGCGTTTTAATTTACAGGTTGAGGTCCTCAGTCTCATTAGGCATCCGAATCTGGTGCTACTATTAGGTGCATGTCCCGAGTACGGGTGTTTAGTTTATGAGTTTATGAATAATGGCAGTTTGGAAGATCGTCTTTTTCGGAAAGGTAATACCCCTTCAATTCCATGGGAAATTCGCTTCAAAATTGCTGCGGAGATTGCAACCGGGCTTCTATTCCTTCACCAAGCAAAGCCAGAACCTCTTGTTCACCGTGATCTAAAGCCAGCAAACATCCTTTTAGACAGAAATTATGTCTGCAAAATCAGTGATGTTGGGTTGGCAAGGTTAGTTCCACCATCTGTAGCTGACACTGTAACACAATATCACATGACTTCAGCTGCTGGAACTTTTTGTTATATAGATCCTGAATATCAACAAACAGGAAAGTTAGGGACTAAATCAGATGTATATTCCCTCGGCATAATGTTGCTCCAAATTATTACTGCAAGGCCACCAATGGGTTTAACTCATCATGTCGAGAGGGCCATTGAGAAAGGTACATTTGCAGATTTGTTAGATCCGACAGTGCAAAACTGGCCAGTTGAAGAGGCTCTTAAGTTTGCAAAATTGTCACTCAAGTGTGCTGAGCTGAGGATGAAAGATCGACCGGATCTTGGTTCAGTAATAGTGCCTGAGCTTAATAAGCTTAAAGAAGTTGGAATTAATAGCATGCCAGGTATCAGTAGTTAACTTGCTCCTCTGCATCTTTATTATTAGAAAATCTTGTTTGAGGAGTATAACTCATTTTCTTCAACATCAACATATTGTCCAAACGCATAATAATTACACGAGAGGTGATGAAATCTAGGTTATCAACAATTTTAGCGAATGTTGCCTTTATTTTATCCTCCTTTTTTCATACGATTGACATTCTTTTGGAACGATCTAATTTGAATAAATATACTGCCTGAAGATAGAAAAGAGGGACTAGGTGAATTGTCATCATCAACTATGGTAAAAACTTATTCGCACTGTAAATTGGTATGGCTTATGACATACCATAAATTAGTATGGGTTGTAAGCACTATGCGGGTAAATTTCTACCATCAACTATTGCCTGAAAGCTTGACTAACAGAAGAGGAATCAATAGTGGTTAAAAGAATCCATAGCACCGGAGAATTTGTGTAAATATAATTAGAACTCTTTCACTAAGTCTCCAACATAAATAATTGATAATTTCTTTATAACAGCAGCAAAAGCCGGAAAAGAGAGAAAGAAATTTAAACAATGCATTCACGAATGTTATCTGGTCGTACATACTTGAGTTGTGCTAATTTTAAAATCTTATGCTATGTTTTCTACGTAAAAATTACACGGGACGCCTTATTTGGTCACCCCCATTTAACCTATACCCATATATTTTAAAAGTTTTAATTTGTACCCACTTTTTAAACAACTTCAGCCCTCTTTCTCCTCCTCCTCCTTCTTCTTCTTCTTCGTCTTCTTCTTCTTCTTCTGCCATTGGCGCTGCTATGAAACTTCAGTTCATAGGTTACAACTTTTCTGTGATCTGATCAGCATAAGTCATTAAGATTTCAACCCCCAACTTAAGTTTGTAATTACCAGTTATATATACATAGACTACAAAATTCGAACATCAAAGATCTCTGATTTCTTTCACCATTCATATCTCTTACTATGGAAGTTCATTACTTTTTCCTTTTAATAATAACACAGAAAAGGAATCTTTTTTCCATCATCACACTAATTGAACAAGAAAAATCTAAAGCCTGAAGATGTTAGCACAAAGTTGAGTAATGACTACCATCGTAAAAATAGTCAAACTATAATGAATCCCTTCAAGCAGAAAATTCATAGACATATCTTGAGAGCATGGGTTGTGCAGCTAAAACGTGCTGAAATTCAGCAAATATAGAACAAAACTTCAGCTAAAACATGCTGAAGTTCAGCAAATAGAGAACAAAACTTCAGCTACTAGAATGCTTAAGTTCAGCACTTACAAACAAAAACTTCAGCCAACACTAAGTTTACGTGAAAAAATTCAGCTAAAACATGCTGAAGTTCAGCAATTACAAACAAAAATTTCAGCAAATAGAGAACAAAACTTCAGCTACTAGAATGCTTAAGTTCAGCAATTACAAACAAAAACTTCAGCACACTTGGTTCAGCAATTTTTGCTACTTCAGGCCCGTCTACTAGAATGCTGAAGTTTGCGTGGTTGCCTTTGCTACTTCAGGCCCGTATGCTGAACTTAAGCGAAAAAGTGGGTACGCTTGCAATTTTTTTTGTAAAGCTGGTACAAGTTAAAACGTGACCCAAAAAGTGGGTATAGATGCAAATGCCCCGTTTTCCACGTGATCCGCTATTTGTTTTGTGGGGATTTGCATCTATACCCAGTTTTTGGGTCACCTTTTAACTTATACTCGCTTTGCAAAAAAAATTATACGCATACCCACTTTTCGGGTAACTTCAGACATACGGGCCTAAAGTAGCAAAGACAATCACGCAAACTTCAGTTCATAGTGCAATGGCAAACTTCAATTCAATAAAATTACAGCATGTTTTGGCTGAAGTTTTTGTTTTGTAATCCCTTCAAGTCAGAAATCTATAGGACATATACTTTGTAGAAGTTCATGGGTTAACTTTGCTGAACTTCAGCATTCTAGGAGCTGAAGTTTGTTTTGTATTTGCTGAACTTCAGCATTCTAGGAGCTGAAGTTTTTGTTTATATTTGCTGAACTTTAGCTCGATTATTTTGTAATTGAAAACAAAAACATGTATTGTGATATAAATTTACGAGTATCTTGTGCTAATTCATTGCCTAGGCAAAAAATGCATCCACCTAAGTAGAAACAAAGGAGACGAAGTGCAAAAACGATGTTGTTTGACCAAAAAGTTTAAGCTCTTTTTATTAAACCAATTAAATAAGAAGGAATGGAGTAAATCCTAGCCAGGGATAATTTATTCTAGATCTGAGATAGAAAACGGGAATAAACAATCAAGGCTGAATGTAAAACTTGATTACAGTCGTGATTGAATTCCATAGTGTAAGAAAAAAGAAGACGGCTTCAATAATATTAAGTGATAACGAAGAATACATGAAGGAAAATAATCACCATTCTTAAATAAGATAAACCTCCATACATCATTGAAGTTGAACTACAGATAAAACTGCCAGGATCTTGGAATTCATCTCCTTTTTGGCGAAGGGCCTGGGAGGATGGAATACCTTCTCCTTTAGAGGGATATATCTATCTGTAAGAGTTCTCTCCCACCCCCTTTATGTTACTCTCTCTCATGGTATTTTACCAAACACTTTCCTTACCCAGTGGTCCTTGACCGAAGTACCTAAGTTCTTGGAATATCCTGTAGAATATTCCTCTAAAATGTCTAAGTGTTGAGCTATCCGTTTGGGACGAACTGAGTGCTCGACCTCTATCGTAGCTGAATCATTCGCCGATGTGTTGCTTCCTGTACCTGACTTCGGCTTGGTTGACTCCTGGTCGTTCTTCATTAAGTAGAATTCTTTTGATCAGATTTTGAACTATACAGTTAGTCCCTCCCCCTATCGGGGTCGTCTTTGGTGAACTCGGTGGGCGGACCCCACCCCTTTGCGAGTTGAGAAATCTGTGCATCTCAATCGAGGGGCGGACCCTTCATAGCGAGATGGCGATGTGATGCTTCGAGAGCCATACCTGACCGTTACGTCGGTTTGAAATGACGTCAATTTGTCATGCGTCATTATGGCGCACGTTCCCCATAAGTTATGTCATTTCCTGTGCCTCTTCTGCTTTGGAATTAATGTGATGTCGTTTGGTTTTCCCGCTCAAGGTTCTTGTATTCTTATAAATAGAGAAGAGAACTTCTCATTTGGGGTTGCTGCGTTTCCTATATGTTATTCGAAAAACTCCCGGCTTCTCTTTGTTCCTTCTTCAGATTCTTACGTCTCCATCTCTCTTCTTTTGACGTTTCTTGCCATTATTACTCCCCCTACCTTAGCACTTATCATCAATATAATCAACTAAAACATGGCTAGTGCACCTTCTACCTCCGATAGAGTCGCCGACACCGTTGCATCGGAAACGGATGTGCCCTCCCATGAAGAGGGGACAACCATTTGGAAAATAAAAATTTTCCCACCGTGGATGAGATAATTCCATGCTCGGGGAAAACCAGGACTGATTCCAAAAACTTACCTGACGCCGATCCTAAGCCCCTCATTTTCGTAATGGACGCTACGATGCTTGCTGTGCTTAAAGCTAAGTGGAGGATTCCTGACCATGTTGAACTCATTCCCGCGGGTAACGACGTCGTGCAGATACATCGCCCGGGGTACTGCGTGTTTTATGCGTATCCGTTTGTCATCGGTTACACACTTCCCCTTCCTTACCTGGTGGAAGACTTCTGTCGCTATTATGGGGTGTGCCCAGCTCCGCTCTATCTGTATATGTACAAACTCTTCCTCATGCTTACCAAGTACGCGGAACTGGCCGGCTGGGGGATTTCTGTTAGTCACTTGCTTCACCTCTTCGTACCCAGTTTTTATAGGGGTACTATGATACATCTTCGTCACCGCGGGGACCAAGGGCTTGGTGGTAAAGATGGACAATAAGACCAATCTCCGCTTTTGGGAGAGTTTCTTCTTTGTGAAGACGGAGCACGTGGTGTCAATCCTAATGGGTTTCCTAAGGAGTGGAATTACGCTCGTA